GCCATTTTATCTGTGAAGTCTTTGTATACATGTACGCACGTAGACACGCTGTTACATATGTCATGTCTGGAAAGAACTGAAGATGATCTTAAGTCTTTTACATCATCAGCTAAAGTGCACTGCTTGGAAACGATTCATCTGTTTCAGGTTAGGTAAAGGAGCAGAATGCTTTGTTTCTGAGACTTGACCTCAGAATGTCTGCCTGTGGGTTTAAAATGAAGCAAGACAGTTTTAAATCCAACATCATTCTAAAAATGTATGTAAGAAACAAGAAAATACATCTGTACTGGTCATACAGATCAGTAGCTTGCCACTTTTTCATTTTGAATTGGCATTTCTTCACAAAACCCCACCAGATTTGATAGTTCAGTTTGCAACCAGTGTGTCAAAGATATTTTTATTGTAGACAGTGGCATAAGCTGTGAGAAAATCTGGATTTCTGTTAGAACAGCCAAGGGAGCAATGAATGGAAAAATAGCAAAGAGAACAGAAGCAAGCCCGTTAAAAAGCTCTGCTACCACTTTTTTTTCCCATGACTTATGTTCACTTTGGGATGGCTTAGTTGGTCTCATAATTGCTGAAGCTTATCTAGATCTAAGGTTCATCATTCTGATGTGTAGAATGTGTGCTTAGTCATTGACAATCATTTTCTTATTTGCTTTAGGAATATATGGATCCTATGAATGAATACAATGCCCTAAATGAAGCGAAGCAAATGATAGCAGTAGCAGATGAAAATCAAAACCATCACTTAGAGCTGGAAGAGATCCTGAAATACAGCGAGTACTTCACAGGCAGCAAGCTTATGGACTATGCACGTAATGTCCATGAGGAGTTCTGATCCTGCTCGCTTTTCCAGAGCTCTGAAGCACTTTCTTGTTTTCAAAAAATAAAACCACAGGAAAAAAAGAAAAGAAATCCCAACTCCCAAACAGACAGAAAGTTACTTTGCTGCTATCTGTGTTATATGCCTACAATGTGTTGTCCTAGACTAAAACATAGTCCGTCCGTACATAAGATCTACAGTGCTGTTGCCTTCGGTATGAGGGAAGAAAATGTCCATAAATGATGGGGCAGGTCCTGGACTACATGAGTTCACCCTGGTTTGTACAGTTAATCCCACTGAAGTTTCAGCTGCTTTTGGTTAATCATATTTGGTGGAGGCTTAAATATTTAACTCTTCTTGTTGCCCTCATAGCTGCTGATCCATGGAAATCACAAATAACACCGAGAGATGCTGGCTTTCGTAAAGGCGATTGTGGTTCACATACATGTGTTCTGACCCTATGAGAGTATCCATGTGTAGACTGATTTGCTAGGATTTTTCTTGGTGTGTCTCAACCTACTTATGCATTGTTGAGGATTTAATACTTTTTAGTAAGTTCTCCCTCCATCGCTAAACTATTTCTAGGAGCTGTGGGGAAGAACTTACTTTAAATGTTGGAGAGAAGCTCTTCTGCTTCTGGTTGAAAAGGAAAACTGGTTTTATAGCTTGGCAAGATTCGAGTTTGTGACTACTCTGGGAATGTGGGAAAACGTCTTATGTCTTTAAAAATCAGATTTCATTCTAAAATGAAGCAATGTGGAAGGTTTCTTTGTGGACTTAAAGACATCGGAGAGAGCAGTAGGATTCCCTTAAGTGTATGGTTACTACTTAACTGGAATTCATTGTTAAACCTACTAAACTTACTTGCCTCTGTCCGAATTAATGATGCTGATGAACTCGTGAATGATGAAGCTGTCAGAAATACAGGCTTTGCTTTTGAGCTGCTCCCGCCAGAGCAATTTACAGTCAGCGCTTGGGAAGCTTTTAAATCTGTCTGGTTTTGGGTAGTCTCTGAAAGCATCTTGCAACACAAGGGTCATATCCACTACTGTCTAAAACAGAAAATGTATTTTTACTCTGGTTCCATCTTTACTGTAACAACCCCTCTTTTGGAAGGGTTGCCTGAAAATCCAAGTGAGATGTTATATTTGATTAAATTTATTCTCTTAATATAATGTAAATATAAGTATTGCTGTCTGTTTCTGTTTCACTATTCCCTCTCTCTTTTTTTTTTATTGGATTTTTTTGGTTATTTTTGTGAAATGGCTTGTATCAGAGTCTTTTTATATACTTCTATCTTTTTCTCATTAAATACTTTTCTCTGTGCTTTGGAAATGTTGCTGGGTTTAGGTTTGTCAGTGAACAGGAAAAACTGGAATTCTCCAGAGTACAAAATAAGACTTTTGAAAGAACTGTAAGATTGGGTAAATGGGATAGTTTCAGCTGATAACCTGCTGATAACCTACGTAGCATCTGCCATGTAAGTCAGCCTCTGCTCCCGTCCACCTGTTACCAGCGCCCCACGTGCACTTGGTTGCAGGTTAGTGAGATTTTCATATAGACAAACCCATGTCTAAAAATGTGATGCTTAATACAAGTCATAGGGAGGGCTGGTTTAGATTGACTGGCAAAAAGTCTAGCTTTTGCTTTGCTGTTATTTATAAAGCCTTGGTTAAAATATGCAGTGACCTGCACTTTTTCAAACTAAACAAAATGAAACAGGTTAACATAGTTTTGCGAGCGTTTTGTTCACAATCTAGTCAAGACAAAGGTTTTAGCAATATTGGTTGATAATTGTATAAATGTCTGGGCTGCATCCTTGGGTTTTACTCCAGTTGTTCGTTCAGTTAGTTAGATGTAATTTGAATGGACAAGTTCTGTCTTGTCACACTTGCTGCTCACACGGCAAATTCCAGTTTGCAGCTGAAATAGGAGGAACTTTGTCAGTTGAGGCAAAGATTATGCATGCACAGTCTTAATCTTCTTATAAGGTGAGCATGGAACCCCTTGGGAAAGACAAGGTACCACAGTATTTAGCTAGCAACTGCAAAAATACTGAAGTATATGGTGTTGTTGAAGCTGATAAATCTGAAACTTGAGGAACAGCTGCCAAACCCCCCCCTTTTTAGTGTATGCATGGAGTTCTGCACCTTAACGTGTTTTGTTTTTCTCTGCCAGAAATCAGGATCACAACTAACAGCTGTAAGGATAAAGTGGGCTGCATGGTGAGATTTGGAGGTACATGAAATTTGTTCCTGTCTTAGAAATTCAGACTATTCCAGATTGTCTATAGACTTATTTTTAAAGAACCTTCAAGTGTTTTATATGCACTCAGTCCTTTTCAGATTCTGCTGGGTCCTTTCCCATCGGAAAACCCTTACTTGCCTGTAATCCCTAAGGGATCCAGTGGCTTTCTCTTTAAAGCCTTTTATTAAGGAGTGCTTTCATGCTTTTTGCCTGTGTACATGAAGAAAGATAATCTGCCTGCTCTTAATAGGACTTGGTATGCAAAGGCTATGATCTCATGGATTTCATTTCATCTTTAAGCTTGTATAGAATAGCTAGAACAAGTATCTATAGTAAAAAATGATACATTAAATGAAAGCAGAAAAGGGTCTTATTTCTGACCCATACCATGGTTCAAGTCACTACTGTGATGCTCTCCTACAACCCAACTAGCTGCATCAAGGCTCTCTTTTGAGAGCAGCCTGTGATACACATGATCCCCGTGGGAATGCCAGGCAGCATTTGGGAGGGGTTAGTTTGCTTTGGTGAAAATCCAGCCAAGGAGTGTGCTAGATGTGAAATGCTATGAGATAATCACTGTGTTCTCTCCCTGTCTTATTTACTTGAATAATACTGCCATATAAAGGGATCTGGCAATATCAAGCCTCGTAACACTTAATGATGCCATACATAAAGGTTGAATTCTGAAGATGGGATTTATTAAGTGAGCATTTAATTTGTATTTAGGTATCCATAACAAAAATATCAATGTGTCATCATGACTGCTCTAGTGTTTTGGGAGCTTTCAGTTTAAATGTGTGCAAGTTTTTAACCTTACCTTGTTTGTGAACATCGTAGCAGTTTGCATTTTCAGGTTCTAATTCAGTAAGTCAGTAATTATTCACTAGGTAAAGTCTGAAAGATTGCTGGGGGAGGAAATGTGGTTGAATATTGCTGAGGGAATGATTTGAGTAATGAGGTATAAACCCACTTAAATGGCATTGAGTGTAATCCTGCAGCGGGAAGAGTGGGTCTGGCTGTGTTTAACTGCTGTAAATAAACCATCTTTCATCACTGCAGGATGTCTTGTTAACGTGGGCCTTTTCATAGAAGTTGCTTGGGTCTCTTAGAACTAGAAGACCTAAAATTCAGATCTGAGATCAGTAAGATCAAATGAGTAAAACTCTAGTAGTGAGCCTGGAAAGATTAAAACCCCTAGTTCCAAGTGTGATCACTACTTTCTCCATGTGCCTGTGGTAGGTGAGGGCAGGACTGCATTGCCAGCGTGCTCCTTTGCTAGCCTGTTGCTGGCTCCCACAGCTGGATGGAGAATCTGCCTGGGGTTTGTATTTCAGAGTTAACATGCTTCTGTGGAACAAAATGGACATCAGAAGGGTGAATATGGCACCCTTTGCTGTCATACAGCACGCCTCTGCTGGAACCTTTAATTCCATGGGAGGAAATAGTGTCTCTGACTCCAAAAGTATCCGTTTTGGAGTTGGAGCTTCCTTTTCTTTAGTGGCAATGCAGGATGTCTGATACTGAGTTGAAAACGAGACTGTAAATACTTCTTTGTAGCTTTTGCTAGCTCCTGAGGGCAGTATCAAGATGACTGACAATTTGTGATTCCACACTCTTCCTGAGAAGAGAAACAACAGAGTATTAACAACGTTGGTTTTTTATGCAGCAGTGAAAGTTACGGGTCTACTGTTAAGTGTGAGAGCAAGGGGAGCAAGTCTGTGCTTTGCCTTTTAAGGAGGAAGCCCATGTGGGCTCTGTTTCATTTTACCTGTGGCTTTCATCTGTGAAGGTTTTCAGGCATTACCTCTGTATTGCTTTAATACTCCTCTTTACAGTCACATGGATCATCTCTTTAGCTCTCCTGGCATTCAAGGCCTGTGTTTAATTCTGTTCTACATAGAGAGGTATGTACCTGGCTGAAGGCTCTCTGTTTTAAAGCTACAAATAGAAACTCTTTCCAAATGCTATTCACCATATTGTCTTTTTTGCCTATGTATATTTTAGTCGTGAACTGCCAAAAATAGATAGGGGAGGGGTTGGAGTGGGAAAAAGGATGGGGGCGTGGAACACAAGCTGGGAATTTCCGAGCAACTGACATATGAACTTGTTCTGATCACCAGTGAGTTAGAATCTCTTCTCCAAGAGTTTGCAGCTATCAGAATTTAGCTGGGACAATAGTATTATGGGAGCTGTAAGATTTTGCTCCCGTTTTTCTGCCATTTGGTTCTTGCTGCTGGCAGTCACTATAAGCCACTGCTTGGGATTGAAATGCAAAGAACATCAATACCCTTTTCGTGACAAATGCTGCAACGAGTGTGCCCCTGGTAAGTGATTTGACTGGATGTTGCTTATACTTGCTTAATATAATAGCTATCAGTTAATAAAATAGAGCTTGACAGAAATATCATTCAAATGTAGGAAGCATAACATGGAGAAAAAGCGTTTGATGATGAGACTTTCAATCAGTCTAGACTGACACACTATTTCCATAACATAGTAAATTTAGGAACCCTCTTTGGAAGAGATACATGTTCTTTTAACTTCTTTTGTGTGACTGCTTCCTTAATGTGTCAGTCTGGTGCATTTTATTGTGGGAGTATTAGCTGAGAAAAGATGTTCATGTTTTATATAAATGCTCTCAAGAGCATTTGTTACTGTCTTTTACCTGTTGCATAAAGAAGCTCCGAAATCTTGTCTAATGGAGAACTTAAGGTAGTTAATTCTGTTGGTGCACATGTTTTTGAAGCTTTTTTTTGAAGCAAAGTTTATGCTACATAAGACTTGGTGGGTTTTCAAGGAAAAAAATACGCTTGATTCATAGCAGAGATTAGGAAAGCATAACTTGACAGGAAATGTGAGCGTCCTCTGTTCTTGTAGAAACTGAACGAGGCTGAATTTGGGGGTTTGCATGGTATTTCCCCACAACCTGAGTATCTTTGATGGCAGTGCAGCATTAAGAAGCACAAATGCAAAATATCGAACCTCAAATACTGTAATAGTTGGGATTTCAGTATAGAAATTACTTGGTGATGAAGAGTGACGACAGTTAACAGGTAATACTGCTTTTGGGGTACAGTCCTCTTAACAGAAGAGATTACTTGCAGTACTGTCAGTGTTGACTGTATTAAAAGAAGGGTACATGTACGTGCCTAGAGGGAGCGTAGATTGTGTCTGCTGTTGTTGGGGAAACGTGTCGTCACAGATTGTGTAGAGAATAAAGATATAGAAGTGTATGTATTGTAGTCAGTAAAAACCTCCTGTGTTTTGCCATTGATAGTACTCACTAAAACACAGAGAAAATCAGAGTGAGCAAGAGACTTGATGCTTATTGTTACCTGCAGAATGGGGAAATGGAGAACCAAAATGAAAGGAAAGGTCTGTGAGAATAAGGATGTATTTAAGCTCAACTGTAAACCCCCAAGTAATTAAAGCTGTCTGTCATTCCTGCATGGAGAGAAGCTAGTAAGATAGGCGGAACACGCTTGACACCTTTTCCAAACTCCACTGGTAACTTGCTGTTTCAGTTTGGGCACGCAGACCTTGTCATCCTAGCACATTAATCTGAACCTCCGTGTAAGTACTGAGTATCATTCAGGTTGGAATTTGTTAGTGCTAGCTCTCAGAGCTCATTTCTGTATACCTGTTATGATACATGCATACTGTCTGGAATGGTAACAAATGCCTTGCATTGTGTCTTGCTGTTCATGAAATGGAGCTAGTAACATCTTTGATATTGTTAGGTGCCAATACAGATTAAAATACAACCACATTCTTTCGTGCCTAATGGGCTTTCAGAATGTCAGCAGGAAATTCTCCAAGCATTTATTCTTGGCTGCTTTGCTAATGAATTTTAACTTCAAACCTGAGCAGTCCATTGCCATCTTCTGTACCTGTTTGGGATTACTCTGGGCTGAATTGTGTGATTTGTCTTGCATAGGAAGGTAGGGTTGGTCTTAAAGCCATTGTATTACATTGGAGATCAGACATATTTCCATGCTAAAAGCCTGTCATCAGGCCCTTCTAGCCCCTTTTAGCTGCTTAATTTGCAGTGATGCAATGGGTCAAAACTTTGGGGGATTCCAGCATATCTAAATCTGCTGAATGTTTTCCGCCAGAGTTGTAAGTGGAACTGTTACTTTCTGGGCACTCTTCCATTCTAATGCATGAAAACAAAGAGTGTTTCCTTCAGCTAGTAATCAGTGCTCCCTTGTCCTTGTTTTAGGTGAAGAAATGAGCCAGCGCTGCAGTTCAACAACAGACACAGTCTGTGTCCCCTGTAAAGATGAATACTTCAGTAGTGAACACAATCTGGAGTTCTGCCGCGTTTGTACAGTCTGCAACACTAGTAAGTCAGCTTATAGCGGGCACTTGATTTTGGGTTTTGGGGAAGCAATCAGGTTTTCCTATACTTTCTTTTCTTTGCATGCTCCTCCAAGGCTTGTGATGCCGTAAAGCCTGTCACTTGAGACAGCCAAGTCCAGAATTGGGTTATCGTTTCAATAGCTGATGGTTGAGCCTTCAGAGAGAAGCAGGCTTGTACTGCCTGAAAACTGGTGTCTTCAGAATAGTTAATAAACTATTCTCTGCAGTTGTTTCTGCACACAACAGATAGACAGTGAATAATTCTGTTATTTAATTCCTTAACTTCTTGTTTCTCACTTGCCCTTTATTCCATTGTTGCTAGGAAAGGGGAGTGTGGAGGTGAAGAAGTGTGAGAAGACCTCTGACAGAATTTGCAGGTGTGTGGCAGGTTATATGCCAGATGCCAGAAGCAAACTGAGACATGGTAAGTTAGTGGTGTGTCAGACTCCAAACTCTTGTTCCCACTTAAGAAGGTTGTTATTTCTAATGTAAAAGCTATTGTCATTTGTCTCATTGGTATCTCCACACGAGTGTTACAGCAGGATGGTTGTGCAGACTGTTGCTCTGTGATTCCTGAGCTGTCAGAAAGCTTAATGCTCTCCTTGTTAATATCCATAATCAGTCAGTAGAGAGATCAGGAAACCCTGCCTGTTGAAGACTAAAATGAACCACTGAGTGTGTTGTGTTACTTCTGACTCAGTGGCTATAGATTTTAGAGGCTGTGTGGGTTTTCTTGGCTCTGGTCTATAAGCTAGACTACTAGTATGAGCTGTTAAGTGTAGTTGCTGTGTAGCTGTCGTACAATTACGTTGTTGACTGACCTCAAATTCTGCCTCTTTCTTTTTTTTCTAGAATGCTTACCGTGTCCTGAAGGGTCTTATTCCATAGGGGGTTATGAGAAGTGTCAACCTTGGACCAAGTATGTATCACTGATCCAGTATGTTCAGAGCAGCATACTACGGTTACTTTCAGTTTACTTCTATAGCAGTTGCTGCCCAAATCATGATGTGTCGAGAAAACCTGCATTAAAGTCATTACTACAACTGTTTGAAAATAACACTGGTTTATCTTACATCTTTAGCTGCAGCCTTCTTGGGAAAAGGACTCTTCGACCAGGGACGAAAACAGATGATGCTGTTTGCAGCAGCCAGGTCACACAGGCAGCCGCCTCTCAGAGTACAACACCTGCTTTGAACCTTTCCACCACACACCACAAGAATAATACATCAACAGCAGTGTTCTCACCATCCAGACCCAGCCTGATTCCTTCCATTTGTTCGGATACAAACAGCCCCATGGAGACTAACTGGGGTAAGGAGAGGGAATGACCAAGTGTAGTCTCTCATCACTAGAGCTTGCCAGGTATTTAATGGAAATGAAATCACACTCTTTCTCAGATGCTATATCTGTATTTTATACAGTCTTCAGTGAGACACACAGGTTTTCATGTTACTTCCCAGTCAGCTTGACAGCTGGGATTTTGTGTAGGCTGTGTGGTTCAGGGGTACTTCTGGACATCTAGGTTCCTTTTGAATCTGGGAAGCCATGGGAACTCCAATTAGAGCCATGAGTCTTTCTTAGTGTGGTGTTCTTCTGTTTTTCTTCCAGGGTCTGTATCACTTATCTTTATTTGTCTGATATTGCTGATGGTGAGTGGAATGTCCATCCTCCTGTTGATTATCCAAGCAGCCAAAAAGGGGACCAAGAGGAGACCTCATAGAAACAACCATAAAGGTCAGTTTCTTTTTATGTGGAAAAATGTATAGGAAAGAGAATAGTCAGGGCCCTCTGTTTGAGCTTTGCTAATTGTTTCAGTCATAATGAAGTTACCTGACCAAGTAGCACAGTGACATCCAACAGTAGTTGATCATCAATGTAGTCCTTACACACTGAATGTCAAAGTGTTTCAATTTTGTATTCTTATAGAGCATGGATTCCCTTGCTTGTTGTCATGCAGAAGGATTCTTTCTCTGTTTTTAGCTCTTCCCAGCTTTCTAAGCCAGCCCTTAGTCCCTGCAAAAATAGTGTAATGATTTTGTGCAGGAAATTCTATTCAGTACAGAGAAGATCCAGAATCAACAGACTTTAGAAGAGCATATTGTGAAATCTTTTGCCGACACAGAAATGAACTGCCTTAAAGTATCTCCTGCAAACAGAAGAAAGGCTTGACTGAGAAGAGCTGACCTCTGTATTCAGAATCAAGCAGCAGTTTAGCTCTTGAGTCAGCCCACAGCTGCCTCATGTTCCATTCATAGAGTAATGGTAAAGTGTATTTTCACTGTTCCCGACACTTGATGTTTCCTAGCTCTGACTGGAAAGACAGGTGCTGACCCAAATATCATCTGTAGGTGCCTCACCATCCATGAAACTAGGAAAGTCCCTGGCTTCTCTTTCCCTGCCCTTTCTGCTCTGAACACTTATTTATTGTATTTTATGTTTTATTACCTGTCTTTCAGAAGAAAACAGCTTCCGACTTCCTATCCAGGAAGAGCAAATTGACTTCAATTCTAGTCTCATCAAAAACTGACTCCACGTTCTGTTACTGTTTCCTGTGCTTCTGAGCCGATGGACTGTAGTAGCACATGATGTGTCAGTGTTCTGTGGCTGGATGTGGAGGGGATGTCCTGTTTAGCTGTACTTTAGTTCCTCTGGGGCTCGTTGAGTGCCCATTTGGTGTTAGGAGCTGTGGGAGTAGCTGTTCTTGGTGGAATGATGATTCTTTCTCTTGGACAGATCCTGTGCACAGCATCCCTATTGCCAGGACTGAGTGGCTATAGTTCTCTCTGCATTTTGAGCCAGTTCTGTATGTAAGGACAGGGAGTTGTCTTTGAATTGAATAAAGTATTGAGGAAGCTGTAAGAGCTGATCCTTGAGCAGACAGAAAACAGGGAAAGCCAAAGACCTGCCTTATAACTGAACTTATATCTTGTCTTATAGCTCTGAGATGCTTAAGCAGAGCCCGTCTCTCTTTTCTCAGTACAGGTATCTGCAGTGTTTCAGTTTGGTTCCCAAATGAACTTTTCTTACATTAGGTGAAGAATCTCCCCTGATGAACCTCGCCAGCTTCCTTTTAGCTTCCATTTCTTCAGGTTATTTCTTTTGGTCAGGTGGAGTAACACCACAATCCTGGTGCTAGCTGTTGAGTGACTATTGAGAGATGCCTGCTCAATGCCACTTCTTTCTTCCCTGCATTTCTTCAAACACCCACTGAGAAAATGTCATGTTAACATATTGAGCAGCATCCCCACTGCCCTCCCAACAAATGGAATTTCTCATGATCACCAAGTAGCTCCAGATCTCCAAGTGTTTGGAAATCTCCATGGAAATCTTCATGTGTGTATAAAGTAGAATATGTGGATCACCAGAAGGCAAAGGGAATGGTAATTTTTGATGAGAACATTAGTAGTGTAAAGTTGCTCAAAATAGGAGGAAAGGCGGAGTACTCACCGAATACAGGTATTTTATATACACACAGGACCAAAGCATATGCCAAAATATGCAGCAGAAAATGTATTCAAGAATACAACTGGTGTCTACAAACATGTTGTTAAACTTATGTATTCTTATATGTTATACATATGGTATACTTAGCAATATTTCCTATTTTGAAATGCATATACAGTGTATATAAACATTTGTATTATATACAAAGTGTGATAGCGACTTCTTGAAATAAATGGTATTACCAGCTAGAAGTGCATGTTTGTGTGTGATTGGAGAGTACAGATGAGCAAAAAGTTACTACACTGTGTATAATTGTGGTGTGTGCAAGTCAGTCCAGTGGCTGAGCAGGGTTTGAGTTCTACACTGCCTTTGAAATGCTGTATGTAGTGGTTTCCTCTGTAATCTGGCCAGGTGGCAGAGCTGAATGTTGCTGGGATGTTCAAGATGATAATGCTCAGCCCCTTCGTAACGCAGAGCCCCTGTGGTGAATGTAGAGATCTTTGAAAGTGTGCTGTGTCCTTAATGCTGTCATCTTGCAGTGAGTTGAATGGCAACATGCAGTGGATAAATCAGAGAGATGCATTCCAAGGAACACCCATCACATTCTCAGAAATGATGCTTATCAGGTTTGTAGGCTGCACTTCAGAGACCATAAAGCTCGTGTTATGCTCGTAACTGAGCAAGGTGCAGATAACTACTGAGCCACCTGAGGCTGTGGGTTACGTGATGGAAATGCAGCCCACAGGAACAGATGAGCTGTTGGCAGCGGAGCCCCTCTGTGGTGTGGGCTTATCAGCTCATTCCAAGAATCTCACTTGTTTCCTGCCCTCTGGCTCAGCTGCACAGGAAGATGTCTGAGTGCACTGTGTTCTTGTGCCTCCCTACCATCTCATCAGGAAATGGGGAGATTTCCTGCAAACCAGGGCATGCGTTCCCTCTGGCTGAAGAAGGAACCGTTACTGGCCCTCAAGCACACAGCAGAGGCAGGGTAGCTGAGACACATTGCATTTGCTCATCAGCCTTTGGGAAATGGGCAGACAGTGCAGTGTGGCTTGATCCTGTGACAGCAAGTCAACCCAGGCTGGAATTGCTGGCTTTTGTGCTATTGGGAGCCAGGCTGTGCTGCTGTAGAACTGCATCCAGTCCCTGTGCCAAGATGTATAATCCTGTCAGTAGAGTTGAACCATAATACCACTTGATAGGATTGGAGGCATTTACGATTTAATTATTTTTGAGGATGTGGGTGCTGGTAGATTGCAGGTTCAAATAAACTAATGTAGATATTTCACCCTAAATAAAGGAATAATGGTGTTGATTTAATTGTCATGTTCAGACTTGTTATTCTTCTGTGCAAAACTTGCTTGGAGTGTGTTCCAATTCTTCCTAAAATGGCAGGAAGTAGTTAAAAACAGGCAGAGAATCTTGAACAGCGTGGTGCTACTTCCTGCCCACACTTGTCTTCCTACTTGCCATAAATGAAACTTTCCCCTCTCAAAGGTATGTGCCCGTGTCATGAAGTAAGTTCCTATTTTTGAACCATTCAGATGTTTTTCAGGCACTTGAGAGAGACACAGTCAGAGTTGTGCAGCTTCATCTAAGCTGGTAAAGATAGGGCTGTACTGGAAATGTTTTGCAGTGTAGTGCAGTAGGCTTGAGGTGTCAGTTCTTTTATTCTGCAAACCAATGGTAACTCTGGTTTTACTGTGACCTGTGTTGGCAATATGAATACTTGGTGGTATGTGAATTAAAAGCATCTTGGTTGCCATAGAGCCTGATTCAGGAGGTCACTTAAGCACATGTCACACTGTCTGCATGGATGTTGTTGACAAATTTGGGCCGCTGATGGTTTTCAGAACCATCTGTAAAACTGACTGATAATTCCTTTCATATTTCTGGGTGAGGATAACACCTGAATTTGGTGTAATAGAGAAATAACTCTATTTCCTGAATAAGTTCATTTCAACTGCACTAGCTATGAGTTTACAGGCCACAGGGCCAGCCCCTTACACTGTCTCCTTGGAATTACTTAAGAGACAGAGGTTAGGTCAGATGGCCACAATGAAATGGGAGGAAAACCGAACAAAAACCCAACCCCTATAGTCTTCAGCATTTCTGTCTACAGTATTTTTTCTCTTACCTGGGAGACTATCACATATGGCTGCCTGGAGTTTTCAAAAGGCTATTTGTTCAACACGGAGGTTTGGTTTGCTTATTGCTTTGCTGCATTCAGTTTTGGAGAAGGATTAAGACAAGAACAGATAGTATTTGAGAGCCATAGTGGGGAAAAAATACATAAATGAGCTGGGTTTGGAGTTCTTGAGCACTCCTTTCAGACTGCATGTATGGTAGTTAGCATGTATTTCGTGTTTCAGTAGTTATTACAGTTAAAGACAAACCACAGGTCTGTAAGTTTGTGCTTTTTATGTTCATTTCCTCCTTCATCTTTTTTGGTTTTTTGGTTTTCCTCTGCACATACATGGCAAGTTTCCTCTACTGTGACTAGCCCGGATCTTTCATCTCCTGCATTTTCTCTTCACATTTTCCTGTGCCTTAAAGCGCATCAAAGTGACTCAGATTTGCCATGAGAGACTAGAAAGGTCACAGCCACTGACAGGCATGCCTGGTGTTGAAGCTGGCAAGGAAATACACAGGTTGGTAGTGTCAGGGAGTTGGTGGTTTTGCCTTTGTCTGGTTTGGTTCCATCTCTGAAACGTCAGTTATGCTGCTGCCTGGCCCCTGTGCCACTGGGGTTGTCTGCGAGGAGTCACCATTTTGGCAGCCAAGCTCTGCAAACAGCTAAGAGGTGACTGAGCCTCATTTGACAGACCAGTGCAGAGCTGTCAAGTGCATGGTGCAGCATCCTTAGCACTGCTTGGAGAAGGATCCAGGCCTCCTTGCAAAGCCATCACTGTTTCAGGGTGAGAATGACTTGCCTTGGGAGCCCACATGTGGCACTGCATGAATGACCTATGTCTTTGCCATGTTGTTTGACTGTAGTGGACCCAGCCCTACCTGTGTCAGGTTTGCAGGGCAGTAATTCTGCCTGTGTGCCAAATAGGGGCAGGTTGAGGGACTGCAAATACTCTATGGGCCCACAGGGTAGGCAGTCCTACTCACTGCAAAACCTCAAGTCTGGCCTAAATGTCGGCAGAGCGGGAAGGAACACAACAACTTTGTCTTCTAGTTTCAGGGTGCAGATAAATCATTTGTCCTTAAGGGGTTTTTTTACCCCAGTCTTTTGATAGTCCTATGTGAGCTGCACTACTTATGTGGTATCCTTCAGGATGGCTGATGCCCTCAGGCACCAGCCTTGCCATATGCCCGTTGTAGTACCAATCTGCACCCCTGCTGTGGCAGATCATGGTGTGTAACTCTTCTAGGTGTCATGGTAAAGATTGAGTAATCTTTTAAGTAAAGACTGAGTGACCATTGTTTCTCAAGAACATAGACAAGTTTTATACAACAGAACATGAATCTTGTAGCTAGCAATGAAGTCTTCTGTAAGCAGAGTGGAAATGATTTGCAAGCTGGAGCTTACAAGGCAGTTTATACATCAGTTTACCAAACATCATTAGTCATTCAGAAATGACATAGAATTCATGTGAACCTCTTGCTAGTAGAACTGCATGGCTCCTTTGGTCACCTGTTATGGGTAATCAGCAAAATCTGAGCATGCAGCCTCAGGAAACCAAATCCTCTCCCTGGTAACAAAGGTTTCTCATGAATGATGTTGAGTCTGCGGAGTGTCAGTAAAGCCACTGGACTTCTGTGAATTAATGATTTGTTTTGGGAAGTGGTTATGCTCTTTTTGTCTTCTTCTTTTCAGAAGGTTGGTAATCAGGACAGAGAAACTGATGGGTTCAGTTGCTCCAAGCAAAAAGGGAACTGAAATGAGGCAATGTGCATAATGTTCAGCTCATGGCTGGATGTTGTTAAGGTGGTCAAAAGTAGAATACACAGCCTGATCTGCAGATATTTGTAGGAGTTTGTACTCTGAAGGCAAGAGGTGCAAGCTGCCACATTGGTGCACTCCAGTGGGTGGAAGAATGCCAGTACAACCCCTTGCAGAGTCTTTCTTCAAAGACACAGTTTGGGTACTCCTTTTTAGTGATAAGTGGGGACTCTGAACCCTGAGGCATTTCTGAACACCTCAGCTCCATGGTCTTCTCTTTGCCTTTTTCAGACTCTGCTGTGTCTTCCTGTCCATGCAAAGGAGAAAGCACTTCAAGATATATGTACTCAAACAACTCTGAAGACCACATTGCTTTCAGTGGCCTTTTAACCCTTGGGATTATAGTGTTGAAGACAGGCAGCAGCATGGAACCTGCCAGCAGTGATACACGTCGCACACAGGACTGAACAAGAAGAAGATTGACATGAAATGTCACTACCTTACGTCAGAGACAGGTGAGATTAGCTGTAGAAAAAACCCAAAGATTTTAAAGCCAGATAGTCAGGTTGTTTCTGAAAGGTCACTGCTGACTTTAGAGATTTAGACTTGGCATGTACAACTATTATCTGTGATCTGACTGTAAATGTTCCATCATCTGGCAGTATCTGTGCGCGACTAATGCTTGAACAAGAATGAAAACATGCAGAGACAGAAGAAAAACAGGGTTGAAAAAAGGCAGAAGGAAATAAATTGTTAGTTCCTACTCTGATAAACACCAGGTATCAGGTATCACATGCACTAAGTGCCTGCATAGGGTTCCCTTGTGTGCCACCTGCCAGTTGTGTCCTTTGGCCCTTTAGAGCTCCCTTCTCTGTTGCTGTGTTCTCAATGCTGAGCAGAAATCTGATTAATGTTCATATTGGGTATTTGGGCAGTGCTAGTTATTAATGTACATCTCTGAGCTTTGGAGGAATGGCAAATTCTTCTATCTGGAATGACTGCGCTGTCCTTGTCCCTTCTGATAGACATGGGCTCAGCTGTTGCTAATGCTGTACTTGGAAAGATGAGGAAATTCAGGCATCAGGAGGGATGGGACAGCCATGGCTTCTCTGGACAATCTGTGCCAGGGCCTCACCACCCTCACAGGGAAGAATTTCTTCCTAACATCTAATCTAAATCTCCCCTCTTTCAATTTAAAGACTGTTATATATACAGTTACATAGTTAAATCCCTGAATGTTTCAAAATTCATGAGGTCAAGAACTGGATTAGGAATTAGATTTGATTTGGAAGCTGTGGCTGCCCCATCCCTGGCAGTGTTCAAGGCCAGGTTGGACACAGGGGCTTGGAGCAACCTGCC